AACTGAAGCAATGTCTTTATTTTAGTTTGTTACTGACTTCTTTGATCAAAGGTTCTCGGCGTGCTTTGATGAAGGTACATGTGTTATTGAAGTCGCCGCTAAAGGCTCCCTGTGAAGGACAAAACAAATACCCATTTGTTATTGCTGTGGCAACATCAAATGAATTGTAGAACACTGACACAAGTTTTTAAAAAAATTCCTTGGGATATATCAGTGCTTTAGAGGTAATCAGTTTTCATTGAAGTTGCAGCAAAACTATTTTTTTAAATTGCTGTTGTGTGGTTGACTGAATTCATTTCAAGTTTCTGCCCTCAGAGGTGGTCGATTGTAGCTAGTCAGTTGCACTACTAGCTAGATTATATTACAGCATACAGTATCAAGGCCAGATATCAGCATAAGTGGATTATGACATAACAATTAACTGTTAGGGTGGTTTGTCAATATCAAATAAGGATTTGTTTATGTAACAACTGATTGATTCCAGTGCATTTTTATGTCCAAGTTTTCGGCTTTCTGTCATGGTGCCTTTTAATCTCTCAACTCCAAACTCAAGATTGTATATACTGTTTTATCTGCCAAAACAGTTGAAGCCCAAAATATTACCAGATGGTATATTTTGTTGCCAATATGTAAAATATAATTGCAATTTGCAACATTGAAGCCCAGCGCAATCACTAATATTGATTTTATTTCCAGTTGTTGCCGTATAAATATTACCTGCGAACTCTAAATCAAGAGACTTGGACAAAATGCCATTTGCAAATTTAGACAAGTGTTTTGTATTTAAACGCAAAAATGATGAAGATTTCAATGAAATTCTGAACTGTGCTAAAGTTGCTATAATGGATAGTTCAGATGCAACCATAGCCAAGTTTAAGAAAGTATGTGATTTCTGGCTTAGTGGGGACTGCAACTTTTGCTGTCAGGACTGAAACTTTTGCTTGTGGAACTCCTATTTTTACAAAATTATGAGTCCAGGTCTCCTAGTTTTAAATTGTAGCAGGACCTCTGGACTCAAAGCATTGTGTTATAGTAGGGTCTAACTGTATATTTGTTTTAAAAGCAACACTTCTCCTACATTTCATCATTTAGATAAGAAAGAATGGCTGTCAGTGAAATAGTGACATTTATTTATTTCGACACTGAGGCAAAAGTAATAGGTAAAAAGTATGTTCTAGATCTAACATTTTATAAATACTTTTATTGCCTCATATTATAAGAGATGAAATAATTTGTGAACTAGGTGAACTAGGTGTTTTAGGCCCACATTGTTGCTTATGTGAGGAGTGTACACTTCCCAAAGTTACTTCGGAGTATATAGACAGTGAAATACCAATAGTCAGCTATCAACCAGAGCTAGCCACCCACAGCAATAGACATGCTGGGTTCAAGGAAGTTGAATATTACAAAATGGTTTGGATGGCAACTATTTTTAACTGCTTCATGCTGTCTTTACACAATATTCATTACAAATGATCAAACTTGCACATTACTTGCATTATCACTGTCAAAAATTACTTTTGGACATGAAAAATGCATGTGTGAATTTGGGGATGAGTACATCAATTTATTTTGCTATGTTCTTTCATTGGGTAACTGGTCATTCTGTACCCAAGTCGTTTCATTCCCAATACTATAGTCATTTCATACCTAGAGTACAAATAAATTCAGCAATAATCCAGAAAAGCCAATCTTCCTTGGCATGTGCTAGTTAGCCTCCTACATGACGAAACCACTTCAGTTGTTACACAGATTCAGCTGGTATCAGTAAAAAAGCGGAGAAGATACCATAGTAAAAAATAAATATCTAAAAATGCAGGCAAGAATATTCTCTTTGTGGGAAGAGTACCCTAATGGCATTATCTCCTCTTCAAAATTACTGAAACATTGCAGCATCATATACAGACCGACAAGGCAAATTAACTGCACTATTATACAATGATTTTTAAATCTGAAAACAGAAATGCATGTAGCAATTATGTTTTCTTCATGGATGTAATAAAACTCTGAAATGTACAATTCAGAATAATATTATTTGTCTTTTGTTTTTTAAGAAACCTACTTGAGCTTTTCGTCTTACTGAGATGTCTCCTTTAATCATTCATTGGATTTTAATTTTTACTGTTCTATTATGGAAAAAAATATGTGCCGTATTACATGGGGTGCTGTATTATAAATGTTTCAATACTTGCAGAATTAAAGCATGCATACATCACTTTGATTATTTAAATATTTATATAAATAAGTTTTGAAACACAGAAGTAAATATATGTACAATGCAGTTCCAAGTTAAATCATCCACTCTCTCTCTCTCTCTCTCTCTCTCTCTCTCTCTCTCTCTCTCTCTCTCTCTCTCTCTCTCTCTCTCTGCGCTATTATTTATGTGCATTATATTTAGAAAGACAGCATAATAAAATAGAAAAATATTAATATTTATACTTAGTTGAAAACAGAATTTCAAAATGCCACTAACTTGTTAGTTTCCTGTAATTGGTGAAAGTGTCCAAAGCTTTGTAGCTGGCAGTCTACCAAAAATACCAGGTTCAACATCTTTAAAAGCAGGCAACAAAAACTGAAATTTATACCAGTATCTGTCCTTGGAGAAGAGAAACTTAATTAAGCAACATGGTTTTATCTGCATTCAGCCCCATTATTTAAAGATCACAGAATGTATAACTGCTTTGAGAGGATAAACATTTGTAATTTTTTTCAGTCATGTTAGTCATTACTGAACAATACCAAGAATGACTAAAGTTTGTTAATTTGAACAACAGAAAAAAAAAGACTGGGCTTATTCAGTTGTTTAAACCTGACCAATGTTTTCTTTTTAATTTTACAGACAATGTGAATTTTTTCAGTTTTTTTTAATACATAGATGCTATTACACAGTGAAAACTGTATAATAGCATCTATGAAAAACAATTAAAGTGAATTACTGTAATTATTTTTTATTATTTGGTCAATTTTTTGGCCTAGATATGCTTAACTCGTGTAAATTTTAAGGTAGGAAAAAGATTAGGCATAGTATATTTGACATTGTAAATTAACGGGTACGAAACCAGCACCTTGGGTACGAAACGACCAACTGTCACTGGGTACTAAATGACTTGGTTACGGAATGATCATGAGCCCTTTCATTGACGTGTCTGCACCAATTAAAGGTATTCTCGTGTTTTGTTCAATTATAGATATCCAAAAACTATGGAACTTTTGACTTTACTGCTATACTCTATTTTATTATAAATTGTTCTACTAAGCTAGTTGATGAAATATTAAAAATTTGTGCATAAAAATGTCCTTTGTGCCCTAGATAAGTTATATCGAAAACAGGGAGTAATGTTTGATTTTGACCAACTTTGAGTATTTCTATGCTATCTAATTACAACAAATCAAACAGACCATGGTTTGCTTTGGGTGTATCTGGAACGTATGTAAAGTGGGAACATCTGGCAAAAATGCGAGTCTTGAACTCTTTTCGAACATTACTAAAAACTAATTTTTGCAGTGACCCCTTTGTAATCAGTCCTTTGAGTGCAGCCATGTTAGGTTATGATACACACCACGAAGGATGATCTGGAATTGATTTCCGAACGATAAATAAATAAATAAATAAATAAATAAATAAATAAATAAATACTGATAATAAAATCAAATATATGAGCATAAAAGTATTATAGTCCGACTAATTTTTGAGATCTTCTTTTTGTGTTTTGTTTTTCTTTTGGGTTGTTTTTTGTTTTTGTAGTAGTTGTTTTTGGTTTTTGTTTTCGTTCCAATCCTAACTATACACATATTTTGTCTTGAATCGGGTTAAAAAAAAACTTAAGTCAATGTTTCCTCATATGTGACAAATTTATTCAAACGTCTATGATTACTCTTTTCATATTCTGACGATTCCAACCCGAGTATGGGGGGGTGTTTTTTTTTTTTTTTTGTTTGTTTGTTTGTTTTTTGTTTTAATCAGCCGTCAATAAATGCAGGGCTCACAATATTACAACCTTTCCTAGTTTCTAATGATTAAAAGATATTAAAAACAGCTCACGAATTAAAATGGGTGATAATATAAACATAGTCTACCCTGTATCGAGCTTCGTCATTAATTGCTCTCTTTGCGATCACTTTCCACTCATCAATCGCATACGTCGGTCTTCCATAGCGTGAGTTATCTTTACAACGATAACCACCTCCGAAATGTGGAATATAAAGACGAATTACACCCGTAAACATGATCCAAATTGGCCTTGGTGTCTGTCAAAGAGTACACTAAGAGACAATGGATTTTATACAGTTCTTTGCACAGAAGCACAATTCTATTGCTTCTGCGACATTACCTATGTTCTGTCACACACATATATCTGCAAATGTCTTGCTGTACGTGCAGCTGTTGATACTTTGTATAGAACATTATTTTCTCTGTCAAGCGCTATTAAATATCCTGACAGGTTTGATGAAACAAAACAGATCTATAACAAAATATTAAGAACTTTTTAAATACCTCACGTAATGTTTCGCATCACATTTTGGTAACAATGTTTTGCATCACATTTCTGGCCTTTTTAAGCATACATGAGCTAGAATCAATGTTATGTCTGCTAGACGAATGTTTAGTCTCTAGACATTTATGGAGGTCTTCTTTTATATTGTTATATCTCCACGACGTATTTTGAATTTTCTCTGCATGTAATAAAAATTAAGAAATAAACAAAAACTATATACAGATCACTTTACAGCTAACTACATGAGGTTGTCAGTAATGAAAAATTGTGTGATTTGTATTTTTAACCTAGCTTTAAGAATATTTCAGTCATATCACTACGTAACCTGCAGTGTGACAGTTTATAGAGATGTCAAGCACTGGCGCATCATGCCGCAGACATGTAGAATGATGTCTCACCCAGTCACATTATCTGACACCAGACCGATCAGTCCTAACACTAACCTCTTAATGATAAGCGTCAAGCGAAGTAACTGTTAGTACCATATTAATAAGTCTTTGGAACGACTCCGCCGAGGATCGAACCACGACCTCCCGCATCCGTGGCGGATGTATATAACCACTAGACCACCGGAGCGGTCCAATAATGAAAAAGCTGGACCACTTGTTAAATTAAAATATTAAGGACATATTTGACGTATGCTGACACCCACGCACAAAACAAAAAACGTGTTTTTTATTTAATAATAATAATAATAATAATAATAATAATAATAATAATAATAATAATAATAATAATAATAATAATAATAATAATAATAATAGGTGCGTAACGCAGATGCCGGTACCCCCATCACATATTAATATAAAAATACTTCGACTACCTAAAGCACTCTGAATTTTATTGTGATTACCACCATACAAATAAGAAAGGAACAGAGATTAATGACTGAGCAACATCTGCACAGATTTATCACAAAAGACTCAGATATTTATATAAAAGGAATGTGATTCGAAAGATTGTACCTAGACGATTTGCAAATCAACACAGGAGGGATAGAAAACTGAGAGGAGAATTTTTAGAAAGAATTGACACAATATTATGTCAACGACAATTTAGATACCCAAGTTGTACAGAACATTTGCGAAAACACGACATGGATGTAATTGAACTTTAAGATTGCATGTTGATATGTATCAATGTTCAGACGACGTTCCTTTAAGAACTTTCATAAACGAGTTAATCTAAAATATCTTGCTTTGGTTTAATATAATAAGGATAAAATATATATATGCAATTGAATTTGTTAACTTGACCGTCAAAATTTTGGTTTGATAAGTGATTGGTTGTAGAGGTTTTCACTGAAAATATAGATGATATGGGAAAATCTAATTTGTGTAGCTTCTTAGAAGGAAATTTTGATATTTGTTAATGTGTAGGAAATAGTTTAAGACCAATACATTAATCTAACTAGAATAAAATAAAATTAAAAAGAAAGGCAAGTCGGAATGTTAATTCTCTTTCATAGAATTTATAAATACTATTACGTTGGCATAGAAGATTTGTCCAAACTAGTGTTAATTACGACTAAGCTATAATGGGCATAAAGATATCTGCAAAAATGCACGAATTTGCAACCTGGTTCAGAGAAGTCACCAGATCTCAGAAGACTGTATAATAATGAAGACAACTCGATAGATATATAGCATGATGAGGAACCAGTTGTCAATTTAAGAAATTATCAAAATCAGTTAAAAGTTAAATGTGTAATTTAAACATTCCTCGTACTAGATAGTTTTGATGTCTTGCTTTTAAGACTGACTTTGCTGATCGTGACTATCGCCATTGAATGTAATCTGGAAATCTGCAGCTTTTTTGAAATACTGTAGTACATCTGTTACATTTGAAATAGCTAATCTACATTTTTGATCTTTTGCATGTTGTTTTTAATCACATCCCGGTTTTCTGTCTTTTTGTCCAAGCTAGATTGGAAAACAAAAACGCATTATCTTTTGCTTGCTGTAACCATTAACACTGTATGAAACAAAGTCACGATGAAATGTATTCCCAATAGGTAGAAACTCTAGCAGGTGCAAATAATAACCATTACAGCATTGTTTAGTATTTGCAATCTGATCCAAGAAAACGTATACATTGTTATGTTTCAAAACTCATTGGATGGCTGAATAGATCTATGGTATTTGAGTCTTGCAATTTTGTAATTGTATTTTGTTATGCACCCTTTATTTAGTACTCAGAGTGCCTAAATCTTTATTGTTTTCCAATACCATTACATTATTCATTGTTGCTATTTGATATTTTCCTATTTGATGCTTTTTCATCTACATTTCAAGGCTATAGAAACCACTCGGAATAAAACCGTCGATGTTTTATTTTTGTCTTTGATGTAGTAGAATATATCGTTTTGCAGTTAATTCTAAATATTGTAATGACTAGCAATACAAGCTTTACTGGCTTATAGGCCGACCCAAACTGAAAACAAGGAAGATCCTGATCAGCTGTAGCATAATGCGCCTGAAGACCTGGATCTATGGTGCTTATTCTAATGATTACTACGTGCAAATTGCACAGACCCAGGTCTGCTGGCACATTTTGCTACGGAAAATCTGGGTCTGTGCAGTTTACATTTAGACTCTACTTATAAGCAAGTACAGTAGGTGTTCTTTGCAATTAGATAACTAGTTTGTCATTTCCGTTATCAGCCGTATCGGTAAAATATTGTCCTCATAGGGCGATCTTTGCATGACAATCTAGTTTTCATGTTATATTGATAACTAAGAGTTAAAACTATTTTCTTCAAATTTTACAACAAAAGATAAAACGTTTTATTTTTTATTTAATAATAATAATGATGATAATAATAATAATAAAATTAATACTACTAATAATAATAATAATAATTATTATTATTATTATTATTATTAATTTATTATTATTATTATTATTATTATTATTATTATTATTATTATTATTATTATTATTATTATTATAAATATTATTTTTAAAAAATTATTATTATTATTGTTATTGTTATTATTATTATTATTATTATTATTATTATTATTATTAGTATTATTATTATTATTATTATTATTTCCTGTTTGCTTCTTCAAAATCTATTTTCTCTCTCAGTTCTTACTACAGTTACTAAAGATTTTTTTTTTCTCAGTTTCTTGACTTTCCACATTGCATACTTTCCACTAAATCAAACTATTCATTTCCTGCCTGTTTCATTTTACAATTCTCATCTAACTGTATTTTGATTTCCGGTGCAATATGTAGCAAGATATAGGAATCAATACTTTTGATTATGTAATTTAAAACACTTCGAGGCATACCAATCGAAATAAAAAGCACTCTAATAGCTGAAGAGGTTGGCAAAGAATTATCTTATATTTTTAATCAACCCACCGCTCCCTCTTAATAGGTTTTGTTGTACGAATGACAAATCTGCATGTTTATGTTTTATTCTCTGAGCATTTTCTTATTGGAATCTTATGTTCAGTTATAATAATCACAACATTTTTCACTTTAAGAAGAAGAAGAAGAAGAAGAAGAAGAAGAAGAAGAAGAAGAAGATGATGATGATTATGATGATGATGATGATGATGATGATGATGATGATGATGATGATGATGATGATGATGATGATGATGATGATGATGATGAAATTCATCAGATGAATGAATCATACCATCATTTCCCTTTCCATGAAGACGAGAGACGTGTTCAAAATTAAGATACAAATATTCGTTATATGCAGCTAAAAGCAGAATAGTAAATGTGTATATTATGAAAGTGTTTATATTGTATCGACGTAAGTTTGTTTTCTTAACATGGTGAAGTTTTAAGGTACGTGTCTTTGTGTTACTGAACATATCTAAAAAATTAGTATTGCGTCCTAAAGCCGGGGGTGGGGGATTCATTAATTGCGCAATCTGATGTTATATTCCTTTAATGTGCTGGCTTGGACATATCTTTCTGACAAACTGGTTGTGTCTTTCAAAGTTCTTGGGAAAATTGAATATCTGAAAACATAAATGTTACAGTGGAGAATATTTTAGTTTTCGAGTTTTGTTTTAACGGGTGCAATAATGGGTGCAATAATGGGTGCAATAATGGGTGCAATAATGCAAGATAAGTTTTAGTTTTTAATAGAAATAAAGTGCAGATGATAATCATAAATTGAAATTAAAATAAAACAAAATATTTAAAAGTGTAAAGTAAAATTTTAGATTTGTATTCATAATATAGAAATTTACGTGGAACTCCAGAGAGTCGGCAAATGAGTTTGCATATTTGCATAATACCGTGCCACTGTCTTGTGTTGTTATTTGATATGGGTGTATAGTATCATCGGATGTTGGTATTCAATATTAATTTTAGCTATGTGCAGGATGTTGGTATTAACTATTAAAGTAATATATTAGACTGTATAATCATAGATCTAAATATTTAAAATTTTAAAATGAGGTAATATTTAATTTAATATTATTTATCATTATTCTTGGGCATACACTTATTACTCAAAATGTCTGACTCTTGATTAAGAAAGTTCGTTTTAAAATTCCACTTCTGCAAAAAACAATTATTATTGTTTTTCAGTAATCCTTTATTAAGTTGCATATCAAATCAATTGAGATTTTTTTAAAACTGATTTGTTGACATCAGGTGATAGATAGACAATATATATATATATATATATATATATATATATATATATATATATATATATATATATATATATATATATATATATATATATATAGATATATATATATATATAAAGAGAGAGAGAGAGAGAGAGAGAGAGAGAGAGAGAGAGAGAGAGAGAGAGAGAGAGAGGTAGGTAGGTAGATAGATAGATAGATAGATAGATAGATAGATAGATAGATAGATAGATAGATAGATAGATAGATAGATAGATAGATAGAGAGAGAGATAGAGAGATAGAGAGATAGATAGATAGATAGATAGATAGATAGATAGATAGATAGATAGATAGAAGTCAAAATTCTAACGGGGTCGGGTGGAGTGGTGATGCGGACAGGGCATTTGCCTTGAATGCCAGAGTTCTTGGGGCGCCAAAACTACTTTGAGCCATGATGATCTCCCCGGGCACCATCTATCATTAGTGCACCACTGATAAATAAAATGGTTATTGATATCATAATGCATGAAAGAAGTTGCTTATGTAACTGGATGAATATTTACACCCAAGACAGGTCTGGTCAAATAAAAATTGAATTAAGCAATAATAATTAAACCGACTTTCATCGGCGTGTAGGCCACTAAGTCCGTCCCATTATTTATATCCAATGTTTGCTACGTTCATTGGTATGCTACAAATTTTCAACATGGCTTCCGACAGAAGTATTGTTGAATACTTTGCTGAACATGAACGTTATCGATGTGGTTATTGTGGGAACACCGATACAAATTATTCCCACGGTAAACATAAACATATTTCAGTACAATAACTAACAACGTTTACTTATTAGTACAACTCGTTGTCGTTGGCGGCTGTCAAAACAGTTGCTAGGGGACATGTTTACTTTCACTGTCACTCGGCAGAAAGACTGTGGTCATTATAATATTTAGTGATGACTCATCCA